CCGTGGCGCTGACCCGCGACCCCCCCCCCGCGCTGCCGGGGCCCCCACTCTGCCCCCTGCAATAAAGCCAGTGCGGGGCCGAGGGCTGCCAGGCCAGTCCCGGGCTGGGAGTGCTTGGCTGCCCCCCACCCGACGCTGGACACACGGGTCCCTGGGGCCTGGGAAGGGATCCCTGGGCAAGCACCCCAGGCACGTCCCAGGAGCCGCTGCTTGCACCCCAATGGGGGGATGCGGGGGCACGCCCTCACCCCATCCCTTGCCGTACCGTGCTCCTCCCTCCCCATGCCTCCTCCGCCACAGCCCCCAGCTGCTCACCAGGGCCCTCCCCGGGAGGTGGCGGGCAGCTTGGGGCCCTGCAGACATGCTGTGACCATCCTGCTCGAACTAGTCTTTGACAAACTAATAAAATAAAGGGATTTGTACATTGCTCCAGCCTCTTCTCAGCCATTGCTTCCCTGGGGCCCTGCGCCAGCTCCCTCACCCCTCCATCCCCCTCAGGGCTGAGAAATGGCAGCTCATCACACTAGGGGAAGGCACAGGGCCCACCCTGGGCAGCACCCAAGCCAGGCCACAGGCGAAGGGAGAGGCCACAGGCAGCCCCCCGACAGGCGAAGGGAGAGGCCACAGGCAGCTCCCTGAGCCCTGCTCAGCCCAGCTGCCTCCCCACACCCCTGTGTCCACCCTGCAGGCGCCCTCTCCGGAGTTGGGGACAAGGTAAAAGGGATGGGTGCTGCTGGTCCCCCATCCCACAGACGTGGCAGGGGGGCTTCTGCCCCTTCCCCCTGACTCTAGGACTCCCCTCACAGAATGACTGGGGATACCCTTGGGGTACAAGGGTCATTTCTGGTGGGTCACAGCCTTCTGCCCCCCAAGAGCAGGGGCACGAGGCTACAGGCAGGCCCTGGGGCAATGGGGCACCTCGTGCCCCCCAGCAAAGCAGGGCCCCTGGCAGGGCCCCTGGCAGTGCCCAGGCTTGGCACAGCCCTGGAGGGCTCCATCTGGAGCCAGCCTCAGCTCCGACTGATTTGCCATCATTTACCAGAAAAGAGCTCAGCTGTTACCCAGGCAGCATCAGCAGAGCAGTCACCTGGAAAAGCTCCTGTCAGAAGAAAATATTAGGGTAGGAAATGATAGAGTTCTTGCAGGCAAGGTCTCCATCGCAGGCAGGCTTTGCCCATACCTCCTCTGTGGTGACCGTCTCCCCTGTGACCCAGCATGCCGGGGCCGGGGGGGGAAGAAAGCCCCATGGCTCTCCCTGGGGAGCAGGGATGCGGAAGCCTTGACAGGGGCACGGGGAAGGGCTCTGCTCGGGGCCAGTGGCCATGGCGTGGCAGAGACGGCGTCTTCTGCTGGAGCCATGGCCCTGTTCCATCCATGCGGGGTGCCGCCAGGCAGGAGCAGGGTTACGGGACTGGGACAGGTCCCTGCAGCCATCCCCATCCTGTGCAGTCACTGGTGTCACTTGTCCCCAGCGTGGGGGCGCAGCACCCCCTGGTGGGGAGACAGCGCAGGACAGGAGACAGGGACAGTGGGGACAAGGGGGACAGCCCCTCGACACAGACCCCTCAGCCAGGGCCTTGCCATGGCCGAGGGGAAGGAGGCAGGGGAAAGGAGAGGAGCTCGCAGAAGAGCAGCTCAGAATCCTTATTCTTCCCCCCTTCTGCCCCACAGCAGCCACAGGCACCTTTGTTATGGAAGAGGATTTATCAAAATTAGAAAAAACAACACCCATACAAAAAAAAAAAAAAAAAAAAAAAAAAGCCCCAGCTGGAGAAGCATCCCCCAGCTCACATCCCCCCACCCTCCCCTCGCTGCCCCAGTGCGGGGAAGGGACATAGGGTGTCTGGGAGGGGAAGGGGCAGGCTGTGCTCCCAGGGCTGCCCTTGCCACCAGGCCGTGGGGCAGAAGGGGATGGTCATGTAGCTTATCACCACTGGGGAGCCTGGAACTCCTCTCCCGGGAGTTACCTCAGCAGTCACCTTCAGTGACTGACATTCTTTGGCCACTTGCCTTTGGAACAAGCCCCCCATGCCCCAGAGAGGAGGCGGTGGCAGCCCTGAGACGGCGAGGAGGGCTCTGCTAGCATCACCTCCCGTCCTCCCCAGTACACAAGCTGCTGCTTTTATAAATGCTCCTGAGAGCAGTACACACAGACCTGAGCCAAAGGTCACAGCACTGCCAAGCAGGCAAGGAGGGGAGCCATCTCCTTACCCCCTCCTACACTAACTAAGCAGTCTCCCATCCCCGAGAGCAGGGAAGCGTTGCCTCCCCCAGTGTGGTTTCATTAGGAGTCATTGGGGAGCCCGAAGAGCTTGACGGTGCCTGCCTCCCGGCTGCTGTCGTATTTGCCATCTTTGTCGTCACAGGCAAAGGCCAGCAGCGGCCTCTTCGGGTGCCAGGCCACTGTGAAGGTGGGGGACTCGCACTGCACCTCCCAGAGCTTCTCTCCTGCATGGAAAAGGGGCCACGTCAGCCTGGAGAGCCTCCGGCTCCCCGCTGCACACTGCCCTATAGCGCACACTGGAACCGAGCACTTGCTTCTTCTCTCCCGCGCAGGGAAGAAGAGGAACAACACTGTTTCAGTGCCTTTTAATCACCTGGTGACAAGGCACAGACATGACACGCATGTCTACCACAGAATAACGAGGCAGAGGCTCCCCCTCACAGCGCTCTGCTCTGCACAGCCAAGCTCTTCATTAGCAGACCGATTCTCCCAGTGCCCTCCCAGCTCCGCCAGCACTTCTCCATCCGATTCCCTCCTTGATGTTCCCCAAAAGGAAACCGTTACCTGTCTCCACCTCTGCAATGTCTATGAAGTGATCTTCTGATGCTGATGCCAGCATCTTCCCATCATGGCTAAAGCTCAGTGTTCGCACCGGCCAGTCAAGCCTGCAGCAACAGAACGAAGCAGACAGTGAGCCATCTCCCACACAGTCACCGGAGAGGGGAGGCAAACGACTTTGGGACAGCACTACCTACCTTGAGAAGCACCTCACACACACAAGTTCATCCACATCCCAGAGGCTGACTAATGCGTCAGCACTGCCCGTGGCAAAGTACTTTCCCATGGGATCAAACTTGATGCAGATGCAGTTTGAAGGATGGGCGTTGATGGACTGAATGGGTTTCAGCTCCGGGTAGCTGCGGAGATGAAGGGAGAGGGCAGGAAGCAGTGAAAGGAGTCTAGGGCTCGTCTGCAAGCAGGGCAGGCTTGGGACTGGGACTGTGAGCAAACCAAGCTGGTGCAGGGCCACACTCTTGGAAACCTTGAGCGCTGAGTGAATGAGGCAAAGCACCAGGGTCACTCTCAGGGAGCCCAGCCCAGAACTGGGACAACCTCAGTTCCAGGCAAGTTCGTTCCCACCAGAGGGCTGGGAATTGTGGGACTCGGGCTCCCCAAAAGCAGCAAAGGGGCTTGCAGGCTGATGTCTGCCACAGCCAGCCCAGCTACCCTGCCCACCCACTGCCACGGGTGCCTACCTGAGGATGGTGATGGCCGCTCCCCAGGCAAGTTCGTTCCCACCAGAGGGCTGGGAATTGTGGGACTCGGGCTCCCCAAAAGCAGCAAAGGGGCTTGCAGGCTGATGTCTGCCACAGCCAGCCCAGCTACCCTGCCCACCCACTGCCACGGGTGCCTACCTGAGGATGTTGATGCAGCCGTTCCCGTTAGTGAGGAAGAACATGTTGTTATCGTTGTTCCAGGAGATCTCATTCACCTCAAACTTGAACTGTTCCTCAGCTTTGGAGCGATGAGTCTTGGCATCAATGAAAGTGACTACGTCATCCTTGTTCCCCACTGCAATGGTCTGTCCGTCAGGACTCCAACAGATGTTGATGTTCTCCCCTGGAGGGACAGAAAGGCAGCAGGTCCCATTTCCACCCAACAATCCACAGCAGCCACGAGTTAAGCAGACAGGCAGCTTTTATTCCTGATCCAAGACCACAATCTGCTCCGCTAACTCCAAACCACTCCCAAATGGGAAAGACTGCCAGGTCTGCTGTCTAACACAGAAACCCTATACAGTAGCTGTCCAGCAAATGGATACAGTTATTGAAAATTAAACTTAACAGAACCACAGCTTCAAGCCAACATGACTACATCACTGCCCTTCCCATTTCAGCCAAGATGGGACCACAGCGACCACAAAACAAGGTCAGCTCAAAGATCCTCTTAACCCAGTGATCTTTGAGATCCAGAAAAAGCAGAAGCCAACAATAAATACATATGAAGGACAGTAAGAACACGGCAGGTTTCTGTTTGCCATCCTACAACGCCATTTCCAGCCCCGACAATTCAAAATTGGAGATCTCCAAGGGCAGAGATGGTATCTGGGTTAACCAGCCCATGAATTCAAATAATTGCTTTCTGAATCCATGCAAACTTTTACTTCCACCATGGCTCTCTGCAAACATGCCTTTCCCCAGTCTCCAGCCTTGCAGCCCACAGACTCCAGACACGAGTACACAGGACATTTTAACAGCCAGCATCGTACTTCAGTAGTTTCTCCAGTCCTGACACCAGAGTAAATCAGCCCTCGTGTTCACTGCTGCTCCTTACAGATGAGTGCAACACAGAGATAAAAGCAGTCAGCAAAGATGCCCCAATCGCCAACACCTACAAGAGCGTCCAAAGCACTGTGCCACTGCAGATGGGTCCCACGCAGCAGAAGTTCTGCTGGGACCCAACAGCCCTCCCGGGAAGGCAGGGACCCACCTTTGGTATTGACAGTGGCGATGCACTTAGTGGTGCGGACGTCCCAGATGCGGATGGTTTTGTCCCCGGATGCCGTGACGAAGAGGTCAGGGTTGCTGGGGTGCCAGCAGAGCTGATCCACGCTGTCCCCATGGCCCCGGTAGTTGTTCTCCTTCACCTGGAGGGAGAGAACAGCCATTCACGGGAGGGATGAGCCCAGCTCTACCCGCCTCCTGCCCCGGATCCCAGCACGCTGCACCCTGCTCTGCTGCCAGTTACCGGATGGGGCGGGAGCCCAGCCCAGCACCCCACCGCCATTTCAGTCATGCTCCCCACCCACGGCCGGCCGGGATGGAGGAGCCCTCCCCACCCCCCCAGCCAGGAACCAGCTGCAGTCCCGGCTCCCCGGCCCCGGCCTGTTGGGGACCTTGGCAACGCTCCTCTTCCCAGCCCAA